AGACAGACAGAGAGAGACAGAGAGACAGAAAGCGAGAAATCACCCCCCAGGGGGGATGGTCACGCCGCAATCCCTTCTCCTCCATTCTCCTCTCGGGATCTTGGGCATGCACGCACACACGCCCGGCGTGAGATTTAAGCCACCGGGTCCGAGACGCGAACCGCGGTCGACTACGTGGGAGTCCAGCGACATAGCCATTACGCTAACTGCTGGTTCCCTTCATTCATTCTTGTACCTTGCACCTAATGACCCCAAGCTAAACTCTCTGAGCACTTCAGAGTTCTAGATGTTGAATGTTCCTAAAGTGACATTGAGCACCTACTGGGTGTTTGGTGTTACGTTAGACACAGCTTAGTATTCACAAGAAGGCGTTAAAGCGCATGTAATTATGGGTGTTACAGTACAGGTCAACGATTAGGTGAGAGTCAGATTCTAGTCCTGGCCACCTGCACCCCAGCTGTGTGTATTTGGGCAGGTCATTGCTGTGATGGTGATGATGTTGATGATGTTGATGATGTTGATGAAGATGCCGGTGTTTGCTCTGGGAGGCCACCCTCCAAGAGAATGTCATCAGTGTCACTTCAGCTCTACCACTGATGAGGATGAGAAAAGGTGACAGTGACCACTGGGTGGCTTAGGGGACTGAATGCAATTAACCAGAAGGAGGGCCACGGCTATCTTTTCTCATCCAGACTTTCCTTCCTTCCTCACTGAATCTGTCCAGTTTGGGGCCTCTAGGACTTAACTGGGTGATAATTAGCCTCTTACTGAGGGGGATCTTAAGTTTCAGTTTGCCTGGGACAATCTTGGTGAACGCAGATGGTCCTGGCCGTTATTCATAAGACCACTTTCCACCCTCGAAGGTGTCCAGATGTGAATAAGTGATGTGGTCGCCCTAACCCATGCCTCCTGCTTCTGTCCTCTCCTCTCAAGATGAGTTTAGCAGCAGAAGGAGGTGCCCACAGCAAGACTTTGCCCATCCCACCACCTAGTAAATAAAGCCCAGGCTCCTCAACGCAGCACTGAGTATACAGAACCGAGGCTTGCGTGTGTGTACGACCCGTAGCATCTGACGGAGGGCCAAACAGGGCAGTCTCAGCAGACACAGGCCGAGTCAGTACTTGCGTGACTACGCCTTCATACAGGCTGCTGGTCAGTCTCTTGAATGCATCATTCTCCTGCCAGTTTCAGGGCCTTCGTACGTGCTGTTCCTTTCACCAGACACACTCTTCCTTCCTCTTTACCTAGTTCATCTTTTCTTTTCTTTTCTCTTCTCTTCTCTTCTCTTCTTTTCTTTTCTTTTCTTTTCTTTTCTTTTCTTTTCTTTTCTTTTTTCTTTCTTTTCTCTCTCTCTTTCTTTCTTTTTTTTTGAGGTTTTTGCCATAGGGCACATGCACTTGGTAGAGAAAGACAGTGAGAGGGAAAGTGAGAAATCGCCCCCAAGGGAGGTGGCCATGCCACCATCTCTTCTTTTCCATTCGCCTCCTGGGAATTTTGGGCACGCACACACATGTGACCAGTGTGATTTTCAAGCTGCTAGGAACTCGAACCACAGTCGACCATGTGGGAGTCCAGTGCCTTAACCACTTTGCCACCTACTGTCCACTCCCTCTTTTAAAAAAAAAAAATATATATATATATATTATTTGGGGGCCAGAAAATGGTTACACCCTTGGATTTCCACATGGCCGACCATGATTCAGGCCCTGGACCTGGTGGTTTTAAAATCATGCCGGGTGCATGTGCACGCATGACCGAGATCCCGGGAGGAGAATGAAGGAGAAGGGATTGCAGCATGGCCACTGTCCCAGGGGGTGACTTTTCACTTTCCCTCTTACTGTCTTTGTTTTTCTCTCTGTGTTGAGTGCACGCATCCTATGGCGAAAACATCTCTAAAGAAAGAGAATTATTTTATTTAATTTTTAATTTATTATTTAAAAAATTTTGATCAGAGAAGACAGAGAGAAAGAGAGGGAAAGCAAAAAAGCAAGCCACTATGTCCTCTGCCATCCTTTTTTGAAATGGTAGAGATTGTATGCACATGAGAGAGTGAGACCTAGAAAAAGAGACGTGCAGAGAGAGAGAGAGAGAGAGAAAGGGGACAGGGCCTTTTCACACCACAACTCTCTTTCCCCCCCTCCACCTTTCCAGAATCCTAGGTTCCCCGTGGCCAGCATATTTTCAGGCTGGCCTGGGGATCCACACCCTCGGGCAGCCATGTGGCTTCCAGCCTTGCAGGTCAGTGTTACTGCTTCCCCCGGGTCTAGGCTTCCTTCTCAGGCTCTAGCTGTCAGTTTAATGCTACTTCCTCCAAGAAGTTTCCGATTAGGACAGGTCTTCCCTTTTTCCTCTCCCATAGCACTCTTGGCAATGACATCTTTATTTGTGTGATTTTTTTTTTTTTTTTTTGGAGAGGTTTCTGCTACAGGGCGTGTGCGCTCGCCAGACAGACAGATTATTGTTCATTTGGGAAGAAAAGACACAAACATTCCCAGATAAACAAAACCTGAAAGAATTTACCAGCACCAGACCAGATCTCCGAGAAATTCTTAAGGGAGTGCTATGTCAGTAAAATTAAATACAGGCATACAGAAATAAGAGTTCAAAAACTAAGAAAATGGGCAACTTAATTGTAGGAACAATGTATGGAGATGAATATTATATCCCGGAATTCCATCTGAAAGATCGAACCTCAACAGAAGAAAGATTAAGTACATGACACTGAACTGATGAAACAACATTCTGTGACTTGACTAAAATATTGCTGCTTTTCTTCTAAGCTTTGTTGTCCAGTTTTTGTTTGTTTGTTTGTTTTTGTTTGGGTTTTTTTTTGGAGAGGTTTCTGCTACAGGGCGTGTGCGCTAGCCAGACAGACAGAGAGAGGCAGAGAGACAGAAGGTAAGAAATCACCCCTCAGGGGGGATGGCCAAGCTGCAATCCCTTCTCCTCCATTCTCCTCTCGGGATCTTGGGCATGCATGCACAGGTGTCTGGCGTTAGTTTAAGCCACCGGGTCTGGGACTTGAACCATGGTCAACTACACGGGAGTCCAGCGACATAGCCGTTATGCCAACTGCTGGTCCCTATTTGTGTGATTATTTATAGCTGACTCCCACACTGAACTCTAACCTGCCACGAGGACAGAGACTGTAACTGTCTCATTCGAGGCTGTATTCTTACTGTGTAGCCCGTCACCTGGTTCATCGTATTCTGTAAATAAACAATGATGGAAGGGTCATAGATGACCCTTGCTGAGCCAATGCGGTTCATGCTCACTGTTAAAGCCCTCCCGGAGCTTCTGAGCGACTTGGAATGAGCATGGCTTCCTTACGATGGCCCACAGGGCCTTGCACACTCTAGGCCCTTCCTCACTCTGACCTATTTCCGCTCACTCTGCCCCTCCTCCCCGTCTCCACAGCACTGGTCTCCTGGCTCCTCCTCACACCTCCAAGCCTGCTCCCCTTGGGCCTTGCACTCCAACTTCACCTCCACCCCCAGTCTGTGCTCCTCCCACTCCGTGGCTTTACTTCTTCATGGCCCCCGTTTCTCCCTAAAGTCATCTCGCTGCTCTGTTTCCATCTGACTCCACCTCAGAGTGTAAGCACCCTGACAGCAGGCACCTGCCTGCCATGCTCACCCCGAGACCCCCAGAGCCAGGTAAACAACAGGCGCTAACTCAGTGTTTGGTGAGCGAGGGAAGGAGTGACAGCGGGGGCCGTGGCTTTACTTCTTCATGGCCCCCGTTTCTCCCTAAAGTCATCTCGCTGCTCTGTTTCCATCTGACTCCACCTCAGAGTGTAAGCACCCTGACAGCAGGCACCTGCCTGCCATGCTCACCCCGAGACCCCCAGAGCCAGGTAAACAACAGGCGCTAACTCAGTGTTTGGTGAGCGAGGGAAGGAGTGACAGCGGGGGCAGGGTGGGCTGCCACTTGACGGGGGGGGCGGGGGGGCCTGCCACTTCAGAGGCAGGGCAAGGCCCCTCACTGGAACCCAGCAGTTCCCTGGGGCTGGGCCTGTGACGTCACCATGGCAACCCACTGACCTGAGGGTCCCCTCCTGGAGAGGCCACAGCTGCTGTCTCCTAGAGCCCAGCCTTCCTGTGTCACCACCTCGCGGGACCCAGGGGAGGCAGGGAAAGGGCTGAGGGAGAATGAGGAGGAGGAGAACACACTCTGGTGCTGGAGGAGGAAACAGGCGCAGGCCTGGGCAGCACTGCAGTTCCACCGGTAAGGACCAGGCCCGGGCAGGGCTGGAGTGTCCCTGGCACTCAGAGGGACCCAGGGCCAGGTCCCTTGGTCAGTGCCAGCGTGGCGTGTCCACCCTTTCATGCAGTGTTTCTAAAGCTGCAAGTTCCTAATGCGGGAAAGTAGGCCCCAGCTCAGCACCCCAGAAGACTATTGACCTAAGGACTGAAAAATGCTTTCTAGTAAAGCCCAGTGATGGTGTTAGTTGGGCGCCATTTTCTTCAGGATCACAAGGTGAGGCCTCCCTCCTCCCAGCCAGTGTTCATAGCAGGTCTCATCCCCTCCTCTCCCCCGCTGCCTAAAAACCTCGCCTGGTTCCAGTCACCTGCGGGCTTCTTGGCCTGGTGGATGAGGCCTTGGCACTCTGCTCTAACCGACTCTCTCACCTGTCTCTCACCGCGCCTTGGGTCCCCAGTCACCTTCCCTGGAGCCCACCACGCTGTTCACAACTTTGTGCTTATGTCGGTAAGAGTGACACAGTTGCCCCAAAATGCGCTTCATTCTACCCTCACCTGGCAGGTGCCTAATTCTCGAAGGACCCACTGAAACGCCACCCCACTGCGAAACCACCAGAGGAACTGGAAGTCTCTTCTCTGCGCCCTACAGCACCTTATTAGAAGACCAAAGCACCCCTGGCTAGGGGGTGGTTGGGACACAGCTTAGGGAGTCTGTCTGCCACAGTGAGAGCAGGCTCTGGAGTCAGATGGACCTGACCCCTCCTGGCCACCAACTAGCTGGGGAACTCGACCTAGTTTCTCAAGTCGGAGATAAAAAAGTCTCTGCTTCGGTTGTTGGAGTAGGGATGAGGCATTTCCGGCAATAGCCAGCACGCAGAGGGCACTCAGCACATGCTAGATGTGGCCATGGACATCTGTCCCTATCATGGGCTCTGTGGGGACAGACTTCCTGCTGCGCGGAGAGGCTGCCTCAGTTCCCCATGGCCCACAGAGCCGAGCACTGCATGTTTTACCTGCGTTATTTCAGTGGGAGAAATCTTGTAGGGGTCGGGGAGCGTGCAGGAGCCACCTCAATGTTACATAGCTAATAAGTGGCCAGGCTGGGATTTGTAATCCAGTTGTTCTGACTCTAAGCCCCACATCCCTCCGAGCCTGCCTCTGTCTTCTCTTTCATGGTGTGTTACTCCCCCTTGGTTGCTCCACGTCGGCCACTCAGGGCCTTCTTGCCATTTTTTAAACAGGTCAAGTGACGTGCTGACTCAGGGCCTTTGGTCTTGTGGTTCTTTCTCTCCGAGACTTTGGGGGTCTTGCTCCCTCTGTATTCAGTCTCTGCTCAAAGGCTGTTTCTTCTCAGAGGCTTTTCTCTCTTTTTTCTCCTTCTCTCTCTCTCTTTTTTTTTTTTTTTTTTTTTTTTTTCTAAGGAGAACATTGGCTCCCCCACGACACCACAGAGAGAGAGAGAGAGAGGCGGGGGGGGGAAAGTGAGAAATCACTCCCCAGAGGGGATGGACATGCTGCAGTCCTTTCTCCTCCATTCTCCTCTCGGGATTTTGGGAATACACACACATGCACCTAGCATGCTTTTCAAGACACCAGGTCCAGGATTCAAACTGCAGTAGGCCATGTGGGAATCCAGCATCTTAGCCTCCACCTACTGCCCCCTACTGGCCCCTCAGAGGCCTTTCTGATGGTAGACTTCCCCCATCCATCATTCTCTGGTCCATTACCCTACTTTACGTACTTTACCATGGTCATCACCAGCAGCTAAGCACCTGCTGCCATTCTAGGCCTTGGGGACAAGGCACTGAACAAGATGAACAAGGTTGTTGGAATTTACCTTTCAAGGATAGGGAAAGTTAATGATAAAAAGGAATAAATAAACAAGATACTCTTAGGTCTTAAGACCCTGGTTCACTGGAGATACCCTACTGTAATATTATATTGGCTTCTTGTTGAATAACTGATCCATCTCTTTTTTTTTTTTTTTTATTTTTTTTTTCTAATACATTTTTTTCTTTATTTACGTTCATTCACTGTACATCATTATAGCATACAAAATGAGATTTTTCCATTGAGAATACACTGTATATTGGCTCAGTCAAGCACATCAACATATGTGTTATTGTCAACAAATCATTTTCCATTTCTTGTTTTCTGTATATTTTGCCTTTTTTCCCATCCTTGATTCCCTATCTCACCCTCTGCCATCTCCCACCCTCCTCCCACACTGTGTCTGGTATCTATTGTTGCTTTCTATGCCTCCCCCATTTTATTGTTTCACTAAATATCTTAATAAATCTAAATATTTTCAATAGCAAGCACAGCTGATATGTACATATCCATGAACACAAGACGGACTTTAGGCATAAACCTCAGTGAGTAGAATGAACATACTGTAAAGTAGCACCTAACTAGGGCTATATAGCTTAACTGCAGTCATCAAATAGGTATTTCTAATGCCTTTTTTTTTTCTTCTGAAAATTTTTTTTTTATTAATTTACATTCATTCCCTGAGCATCATCACAACATTCTAAATGTGGTTTCCCATCTAGAATATACTATATAGTGGCTTAATAATGCATGTTATCATCCATAATATTCCATTTCTACTTTCATATATATGTTTTTTACCCCATGTCTAGCCCTCTGCCCTATTCCACTCTCTTATTACACTATCTCTGCTGTCTACAGTTGTCTTCAATCCCTTTTCCCCCAACATTTCGTTGGTCACACAATATCATAAGTAATCTAACTACTTTCAATAGCAAGATCAGCCGATGGTTTCAAGAAAAGCAGTTTTGAACTGGTAAGGATATTTCTTTGAAACTTAAAGCCTAGAAACAGGTTAGTATTCTGTTCAAATAGTCGGAACATGAATCTATTGATAGCTGAAGACAGGACAAAAGTCCTTAAAACCAGACAACAAAGCTTAGAAGAAAAGCAGCAATATTTTAGTCAAGTCGTAGAATACTGTTTCATCAGTTCAGTCTCATGTACTTAATCTTTCTTCTGTATCTGTTGAGGTTCGATGTTCCAGATTGAAATCTGGGATGTAATACTCAACTCCAGCTTTTGGCCCTACAATTAAGTTGCCCATTTTCTTAGTTTCTGAACTCTTATTTCTGTGTGTCTGCATTTAATTTTACTGACATAGCACTCCCTTAAGAACTTCTTGGAGATCCGGTCTGGTGCTGGTAAATTCTTTCAGGTTTTGTTTATCTGGGAAAGTTCGTGTCTTTTCTTCCCAAATGAACGATAACCTTGCTGGGTACAGAATTCTCGGTTGAAATTGCTTTTCCCTTAATACTTTGAATACATTTTCCCATTCTCTCCTCGCTCTCATTGTTTCCGATGAGAGGTCTGCCGTTAGTCTGATGGGATACCCTTTGTAGGTAACTTGCCTTTTTTCTCTTGCCAGTCTTAGTATCTTGTCTTTGTCTGTGGTTTTGGTCAATCTGGCTATAATGTGTCTTGGAGAAGATCTTCTTGGGTTGATTCTATTTGGGGTCCTCTGTATTTCTTGGGACTGAATCTTTGAGTGCCTCTCCAGGTTTGGAAAATTTTCTTGTAAGATTTCATGGAATAGATTATCAATGCCCTTATGAGTCTCTTCACCTTCTGGGATGCCTATTATCCGGATGTTTGGACGTTTGATGGTATCTAGTACTTCTCGCATATTATTCTCAAATTTTTGGGCCATTTTCTCAGTCTTCGCGGTGGATTTTTCTAGGCCAACCATTTTCTCTTCTACATTAGAGATTCTATTTTCTGTATGATCTAGTCTGCTTTTAATACTTTCAAGGGAGATTTTGACTTCTTGTATTATAGCCTTCATCTCTAACAGTTCCATCTGATTCTTTTGTAAAGTGTGAAATTCCTCTTTTAGATCTTGCATGAATTTCCTTACCTCCTGGAACTCTTCAACTCCTTTCTCCTTTCTCTTCAGCAGTTCCTTGTCTCTCTTCTCTTCCATCTCTGTTAGCTTTGCCATTATGAATGTTCTGAATTCTTTATCAGACATTTCCATGATTTCCATTGAACTGTGTGTGGATAAAGAGGAGCTATCCTTTTCCCATGTGGTAGAGGTATTTTCCTGCTTCCCCATATTTCTTGCTGTCTCTTGAAGAAGGGCTGTTCACGCGAGTTTTGGATGCTGGAGGCCCAGTTATCAGTGGGACATCTTCCTTTCTCCCCAAATGGCTAGATCACAGGAGCCATGGAGCTGTCTGCCTCTTGAAGAAGGGCTGTTCACGCGAGTTTTGGATGCTGGAGGCCCAGTTATCAGTGGGACATCTTCCTTTCTCCCCAAATGGCTAGATCACAGGAGCCATGGAGCTGTCTCAATAACTGATCCATCTCTTGTGTTAGGACTTTGTATTGAAGAAACTCAGTCATTTACAAAATGAGTGAATGAATGGACAATCTAAGAGGACCCTGTCAATGTGTTTTTCTGCCTATTTGCTTGTTTTGTTTTTAGGTTTTTGCCATAGGGCATGTGCACACACCAGAGAGAGATGGAGCGAGACAGAGGAAAATGTCTCCACACATACCCTCCCAGGGAACATGGCCATGCCGCAATTGGCCATGTGGGAATTCACCACCTTAACCACCACGCCACCTGCTGATCCCTGTCAATGTGCTTTCTAAACTTGAAAGACCGCCTGACTTTCCATGGCCATCTTTTTATTTTTCTTAAGTTTAGTTTGCTTTAAAGCTCATGCACTCCCTGAGGGAGAGACAGCTAAAGAAAGAGAAAGAGAGAAATCAGGGATGGCTGCATCACAATCCCATCTCCTCCATTCTCCTCCCAGATTTTTGGCATGCATGCACATGTACCTGGCATGTTTTTCAAACCATCAGGTCTGGGACTCAAGGTGCACAGTTGGCCATGTGGGATCCAGCCATCTGCTGGCCCTTGATAACCATTTTAATTGAGTTCTCTTGCCTGATCAACAGCACTCGGAGCCTTGGACTGTCTTGGACAGGCCGTGTCCCTAGTGTGGCTACTTGCTTATAAAGATCTGC